CAACTCCTCTCTCCCTCTGAAACACAAACATTAGCAAACCACTCTTTGGCTTCGTCTCCAATTCCATTTTTATACATTATTATCACAAATCAAACACAGTGCCACCTGCTGTTCTTTTCTTCTCTTTTTCACTTCTGCAAATTGATTTTATTTATTTACGGAAAAAATGTAGAAGCCGAGTCAATAGGCAAATGTTTCTCTATTGTCAAACCCAAGAGATGTGGGTGGTTTTTAGTTTCTGATAGGTGGGGTGGGGGGGTTGGGGTGTTTAGTACGATGACCTTTTTGTTATTTTATGCATCCATTATTATTAATTAATGTTAAATATTGAAATAAAAAAATAATAACACGATTAAACACTAAAGAAAGATCATGCAGCAAAAAAATAAGTGAATACAGAAAGAGAGAGAGAATAAAAGTGAAGATGAAGATAACTAGTGATGGGAGACGTGGTTGACCTAAAAATTAAAGAGGATAACTTAAGTTGTGATTTATGTCCAATTTAGTAAATAAGAAAAATATTTAAAATTATGGTGGAACAAAAAAATTTCGTGCTGGCACCAGAGATTAATAGATAAAATGAGAGGAGCAAAATAGATGAGAAGATTCATTCCTTTAACTCAAGTTTAGACTCTGTCACATAAATTACAAACCGAAATAAAATGGCGAAGCCATAAGTTTCTAAACTCTTGGTAAATCATTGCCTGAGCCAATCTGGAAAAGATGCAAAATTTTCTAAAATAGGAGTTCATAATCCCTGCGCTTCTTTTAATTTTTTCCTGTATTTTTAACATCATTTTATCACTAAAGTGGAGAGTGATCAACAAGTCCTGCCCCTTGACCCTTTCAGAAATACCATCTTAGCGCATGTTTGAGTCCCATTTTCGCCCAAAATGCATTTTGGAAAAGTATTTTGATGGAGAATGTGCGATTAAAAAATACGAAAAAAATTTGGGTTTGCGTATAATATTATTTTATTGAAAAATGTGTGGTTGAAAATAAGAGAGAAAAAAATGTATTTTAGAAATAATGGGGACCAAGCAAGGGCATGCTTTTATCATGCACAGATAATGAAATNCCATTTTTTTGGAAATAATGCATTTTGGAATAGTATTTTGATGGAGAATGTGTGGTTAAAAAATAAGGAAAAATTTTGGGTTTGCGTGTAATATTATTTTATTGAAGAATGTGTGGTTGAAAATAAGAGAGAAAAAAATGTATTTTAGAAATAATGGGGACCAAGCAAGGGCATGCTTTTATCATGCACAGATAATGAAATGGTCAATCACCATATGCCAGTGTTGTTGGACAAATAGGATTGCATCTTTAACAAGTAACAAATTCACTAGCATTCTTCAATCCCTAAAATCATAGCAACTCGAAAAAACACAGTAAGCCTCCCTAACATGAAAGGGCTAGCCTCAATAGAACTGCTGTCTAACCAGCAGCAAACCTGTAAACTATTTCAGTTTTACATGAATATTTCTGTTGCTAATTCTCAACAATCTAACAAGACTATCAAATGTTAAGTAATGCTATTTATCATTATAATGATGAAACATCGTTGATGTGGCAACTTAGGTGAAATAATAGAATATGACAGTTCAATTTTCACGAGAGAGAGAGGGGGGGATTAAACTGTCATATCCTATTATTCCACTTAAATTGCAACATCACCGATGTTCTATTATGATAATGATAGATAACATTATTCTCAAATGTTTGATCCCTTACTCAAAAACATATATCAAATGCATATGTAGGATTTTACTTTAGTCAGACCATGGCCAGGGTCAATATTATACAGTGCACGGGAGATTATTGAATCCTAGGGTTTAAAGTTAGAGAGTCCACAGAACCCCAACCCCATGGTGTCCCCTGGCCATCAAACAGCTTTATTCTTAAAGTTACCATATTGGCCCAGCTGCTTATGGCTTGAGTAAGGTGGAATTTGGCTCTAAATCTCAATATTGAGTTAACAAGGCTATAACTAGAAAGGTTAAACTTCAAGGTAGATAAGATGTGTCAATAATTATGCTGGGAAATCAAATGATTATGGTAGTATGTTGCGTGCAACATCCCTTCATACAACCGTTTATATGCCCTGAGATATTGTTATCGAAGTCCAAGAAATGCAAATTTGGACATAGATGCACGCTGCCTGTTCGGTTAAGCTTAAAAGTTAGTTAAAATAACTTTTTTTGCCAAAGATATTTTGAGCTTTTTTAAAAAAAGTTACGTTTTTTGAGATTTTTAGTTGGAACACTTACTTTTTAAAAGTGTAAATCTTTACTAACTTTACAAAAAAGTACTTTTACTTTTTTTTTTATAGCCT